GTTTCTATATGGATTTTATAAGGTAAAATATTATTTATTTTTGGTAACTATATCATTTACCGTCGAGCTCAAATATTCCATAAATGTAGAATCCAATTTTGGATCTATTTGCCTCTAATCGAGATTTTAAAATGCCCATCAGAAAGTAATTGCGATGACCGCCCATTTCAATTCATCGTTAAGCGAACATTTTTTTCGATGTAAAATCGAGTTTCATTTACTAAATTTGAGTGTAGGGTTTCTTTATTTGTTTCATAATTATTTTAATCTGAACAGTAATAAAATTATTGAAATATGCTGCACTTATCATCCTTATTAAATTACAATAATTTTGATGACTCAATATGTTCGTTTAAAGATTAATGTCCTGGAATCTTTGTATAGGTATTTTCATTATAAATACACACACAAAATACATATCATAGATATCGATTAAAATTGACTAGTGATAAATAGATTTCTAACTGAAGCAAATAAATCTAATTTACTCACCGCGCGGGTAATTAAGAGAGTAGAAAGAATGTGCGTGCACGACCCGCTCAGGAAGGATTTATCATATCGAATACCTTCTGCCTTGACAAGTGTTAAAACTGTATCCTGTTACTGTCATTGCTTGAACTTTATCCACTTTACTAGCCAACATATATTGTTCCAAGATTTTTTTTTCTGCAAATTCGCATCGATATTCCATTAACGCAAGTGCAGGGAGCGCGCACTTTTATGGTGTTATTTTCGATGCGTTTGATATAAAATCATTTCCTTGCGGGTTTCCTGCACGGTTCTCTGATTGTTAGTCCAAAATATCGAAGTCGTGAAAAGATCGAAGCATACAGTACCTACTTGGGTATCTATTTACTACCGTATTGTTGGCAATTCTTTACGGGTAAAAGAGAACATCGTTTGGATTAGTAATTCTATTAACTAAATGAACATAGAAGATTTATTGTTGCCTAACCGTGCATGAGGAGGATGGCTCGCTCATTGGTGGAACGCTCGGGCACTTTTCAATTAAACTGCAACCTTTCTATGAGACATTTATTTTCCCATTCGTTCATTCTTCTTCATAATATTTTGACAGCTTGGCATTAAATTTGTTGGCAAAGCACGCCGCTTTTTAATGCTGCGGACGTAATAACATACATTTTAACGTAATGAAACTGCGATAAAAAGTGTATTTAAATCTTAGGCGAAAACTACTTTGTCTCGGCTTTTAGAGCTGGATGGAGACGGGAGTCGCTCGATTTCCTCATTTTTATGTATTTGTTTTCTTAAAATAGTCTTTTTATTGTATTTAAATACGCACTCGGTTATGTCTTCTTGTAGCTGCACTTTTAATACGAAAGCTTTTTAAAATTCGTACGCGAAATTAAATTATACAATACCTACATTGTTCTCCGCACCTACATACGATTTGATAAATCAATCAATTCTTCCATGTAAATTATTATTAACGATAATTAATAGGCAATCATCGAGCACAAAACGAAATAAACAAAACGATAAAACCGCGATCCGAACGAGCAATTGATGAAGTTCTCAATAACCTACGCCGATTGTTAAAGGGAACCTCCGATTATAAAATATTAACAAGAGGTTGGCAGCTCTTGCATTAAAATCAATTGTTTTGATATTCATCATTCATTACCGCAATTGAAATGACATCATCATCTAGTCGTTTGCGTGGGAAGAGATCGATTCCAGGCGTAATTGAGGCCGTTTTCCGGCGCAAACGGGATACTCTATACCTCCAAAAAATTGTTGATTCAATGGTTTTTGGAGAATACATCCCCATTCGATTGAAATTATTGATGTTGCTGTACTAGGTCACAGTGAAGGAGAGCGAATTGGACAGATGTAATGAAAAATAATGAATGATTTATTTGGTGAAAGCCACTTACAATTGTTTGTATATATTATCAAGTTCTTTTTTTTTCAAAGCTTGTTTGCCACGATTATGCCCGTGCTTCCATGAAACCCCTTAGCTCTCGGAATTTTATTATGCAAAATCGCCCAATTTTTTTCACACTCCTTTTTTTTTCTTTGTATTCTTCGAAATATGATTCATCACAATCGCAATTGAGTTGTCGTCGTTCTAAAGCGCGCCGTCGACCATTCGATGGGATCGATTCTATTCAAAACTCTCGAGACTTTTGTCTTTTCATCGAACCTATCACCGTTTCAACTTCCAGAATGTCGCCGTCATCTTCGATTCGGAATCGATCGGAGGCGCACAATGTGCCCGTTGACACCGCACCGATGCGATGATTAGGCGATTTCGCTAATTGTTCCGCGTTTGTCGGTGAATAATGCCTCTCTTCCACCGATCGATCGTTTTATTGTGAGCCAGATATGCCGAGCGGCGGCTTTCACTCAAGAACAATTCGTGTACCTTCGGCTCGGCGTTGATTATTAAAAGGGTTGCTGCATTCGCGAACTGTTTCCATTTTTTTCCGCGTTAAGTAGGTACCTTGAAGAAAAAGCGGGAATTAAAGGGAAATCGTACGCCAATGTCCACCTGTCGATCTTGTGCGGTACGTTGGCGGAGGCGTCTGGGGAAACATCTTCTTTAGCCGACAAAAGGAAACTAAAATGGACGAAATACACCACTCGGGTTCGCTCTAAGTGTCTGCAGGATTCTTAGTTTTGTTATTCGATTTTTTTATAGGGGAACGGTGTACACGCCACTCCGAGATTTTACGGACAAGTCAATTCGAGATTGAATTTAACCGGAGAAGTAATGGGGTGTTTCTTTTTTCACCTTTTTCTCTCACTTAGAAACAGCTCCAATTTCTAACTGTTACCTAACTGTTACCGCGACGGATTTGTCTGTAATGAAAAATTCGAGGTAGATGGAAACAGTAATTGAAAGTTAAGTTTGCAAATACTTTATTCGATTAAGATAACCATCAGATGTCAAAAGCGCATGCGAGTAAATTAATTGAAAAAAAAAATAATAACCCCGTATGACGAAAATATGGGTGAATGAACCATCGAATGGTACACGTAAACAAAAGGTGACTGAAGCTATACGCACAACGTCGGGCTCAGTGCAATGGAAACCACTTCGCATTGGCACTCATACAAAAACCTTCTCACCCTTCTAAATGAGTGACACGTTAACAACACCATCATCAAAGTATCGCTGGGAAGCCTACCTGAGGTGACACGGAACACTTCTTTTTTTTTTTCGCTTTTTCATTCAACCCGGTAAACGAACCCCACCGAGAATTTCGCACGTCCACATCGCCGAGTAACCCGATACTCGCGAATCCACCCTGTACTAGAGGTGGAGAAGGTAAGACTGATAGATATGTATGCGTTAAAACGAAAGAAAATTCCGGGTTGTTTCTGATTAGTAACACCACAGTTGAGAATATTAATATAGATATGGTAATTTAACGCGATATTATTGTAGCAAGTATCTAATTTATACATGGTACTTAGTGTTGCATTTTAATGGTGTAATTAATAATATTGTAAGTTCGGTTTATTATGTTGTTTTGTTGTATGCACCACCTCTATAAAATATGCGTAGGTTCGTTTGTTTCTATGCACGTATACCACGCACGGTATTCATATTAATTGCTGTACGTTAGATACTCCAAATCACATCCTCTAGCGCCCCGTCAAAGGGTTGCCAGTCTCTTTTCGCTCCCCCGTCGTCGTCGGCGGTGACCGTCATACAAGCAGAGACCCCGCACGTCTTCTCACGCACCACTCTCGTTCTATTCAGAAGGACCCGTCCCCGTCCGCCGACACCTCTTAACTTACTTTTTACACCCCCGAGCTCGTTAACACCGCGGCTTTTAATATCGCCTGCGTGCGTCAAAATGAAAGAGGATACGCGGAGGGTGGAAGGCGCGAACCCGCGGGACGCACCTTATATTGCCGAGGAAAAGTGGCATCTAGCTGTAGCATTCCGGCTTGAATCCTTCCTGGATTATTGCCTAAACTTTCCAAGCCCCCGCCCGTCTGGTTCGATGGTTGTTTCGTTTTATGGGGATTAAAACCGTTGGTGTATTTTTTTTTGCTTCTCTTTCTTTCGTTGATTAGGTTTTCCGCTTTCGATAATTGAATGTTTAATGCGAAAACTTTATACGATTAATTTTTGTAAGCGGTGAATTTGGCACAATCGAACAAATCGTTTCGTCGATAAATATTTCATTCCGGGTTCGCCGGCGCGCCGCGCATTGAATGGGATTTAATCATCTAAATGATATGACTTCTGATACGTTCAAAGCGACAAAATTCAATGTATACAAAACGTTTCTACCTATTTTCACACATTCAACCGATATTGAACACAATAAAATCATATTTACGATATGTTTGTACACATACGTTCGTCAACCTACGATATTTCTGCCTGCAATGTGCCTTTATGTGGAATGTTCTTAGTCGATGTTGAAATAACTGATATCATTTTAACCCTAAATTAATTAGCCCCGAATCTTTCTCGAATTCGATGATATTCGTTCAGCATTTTGTATCCATATGCATTTGAAATGTTTCATGATTATTAGGATTAAAACCTCTAGGTGTCGTTAAAGCACTCATCTCGGTGATATATTGGAAACTACAAACGCGTATTGTTCTTTGTTAAGCCGTGCAATTATCACCTTATTGTCGAGAAGCGGAGAAAACCCGACGATGAAGCAAGGCTAGTGCACACCTTAAAACAATTCTAAAGTAAAGTTATTTGCTGTACGAGTTTGCGATTACTCTATGTCATAACGCTTTCTATAACGCCCTTTCAACATACGTTTGATGATTCACACGTCGCGTTAGAGATTTATTACAAAAGAGTTGAATCAAATGATCGATTTTTCGGATTCGTTTTTATTATTAATTACGGCCGGTTTCGCGAGCTATGACTATTATATGAATATAAATCCATTATTTCTATTGTGGTGAATGAGAAATAGTAATTCCGTTTTCGAAACGATGCAGTTAGTAACAAAATAATATTAGAAACAATAATTGCGAAAGCTATTATAAAAAATGTATTAACTTTATAGGTAGATATTATTCTAGTTACTATTGTTATTTAACTATTTAATAATTTTTTTTGATAATTGGGTTTTCCACGAAAGATACGAATTCCAAAACAAACCAACGGATTGGTTCATGAGAACTTGATATTGCAACGGCATGAATTTGAAATTAATAAACTGCACCAGCGGCCATACTTGGTAATTCGTTATCATTATATCGAAGTATTTGTCCTTAATTTCTGCTTTAGTTGTTTGCCAGTCGTTACCCTTCAGCGTATTGAGGGCTATTAAGAAGACGGGTAGAAAACAGGGAGCGAACATGAATTGGTCCAATGCGACTTTTTTAAACGCCGCCGTCTTATCGTCCGGCCTGATCATTTTCGATAGAAATTTGTACCACATTGCCACGCTAGGACCCTGCAAAACAAATTAGTAAAATTTGTAACAAATAGGTGATTTAATTTCGTTTATTACTTACCACCAAACCAACTCCTAACGCCCCGAATCTTAAGGTTCTCATAACATCGTATTGTTTTTTTCTTTCTATTGCAAATTGGGCGATTACATCCCCTAAGGCCATCAAACTTCCAGCTTGTAGCGATTGCACAACTATTAGGTTCGTTTTAATGAAACTTTTAAAAGATTTTGGGATCCCTGTCATTTTGTTGTAAATCTTTTAATAAAATTTTGCTAATGTCAGAATAATGGATTGGTAAATAATTAAAAAAAATTGACGTTATTTTGTATAAATTAGTAGTTCATTTTTCGTTCCAATTTGGAGTGATTTGAATGAACTATTGCATGTCTAAAACAAAAGTAATGTTGTTAACAGCATTTCCTTTAATATTTTACAATAAATATGTATAATTCAATATATAAATTTGGGCTCTATGTGTTTTGGTTTGAATTCCAAATAGTCGAGAATTTTTAATCCAAATACGGTTTTCTAAGGATAGAGAAAAATAAGTGCATTTTTGAAGCCGTCTATCATCTTTATCGGACAAAAATAAAACGAATCAATCGGTTTGAGAGAACCTGACTCAAGGTTTATTGTTATGAGAAACTCGCAGGAATTCGTACACGCGACGTCGAAGTCGACTGCAGCGCCGTTCTCTCACGATATCATCACGAAAACTACCCTACAATTTCCAACATCCAACATGCTTTAAACCCAGTGGCTAAAAAAAATCGAGTTTCTTTTGCAAAATGTATCATTGATGTAATTGGTTTTCACTTTCTCGATAAAGCGTTAGTTTGATATTAATTTTTCAGTTCAAAACATCTTATGCATATCTTGTAATAAGATGCCATCATCTTCAGGCACTCGTTATCGACGACGAAACGTTCGATAATTCTCCGATAGTTTTTCTTTCATAAAAGTGACTCTTTTTCCTCTTAAGGAACAAAGGCCGAGTTTCCATAAAACTCATCGGAGCGCCTATGAAGCGGGCGTCCCGGCGCGACGCCGACGCGCGCAATCGAAGGACCGCGATCGAGAAGCCGAGCGCGATATTAAAATCAACCGGATAGCGTCCGGATATCTTGAACTCTATCCGGTGCGGATACACAGCAACGAACTTGCATCTAAAATATGCTCCGCAATAAATTTATAGCGGATGCGACTTTGATGGATCGGCAGAAAAACGCGCCAGAAAATCCGAATAAAATATTGCGATGGCACGCCAACGACACTCGCGCCCCGTTGCTTCGGTTCCGACAAATTTGACGAAATTAAAATCTCGCGGATACAAATGCTAGAATAAAACGCGACGAGACATTTTTTTGTCTGTCGTTAAAGGGTTTTATCAAGATTTATAGTTTTAGAGCTCATGCTTTGGTAATTATTTTGTATTGGGAAAAATCTAAATTGATAGAGCTTTAAACCTGCATGGACGTATGCCAAAGGAATCGAGGAGGAAAGTTCTCTCGCAGTTTTAATGATGCATTAAATTGTTAAGGGAAATCGTTATTAATTCATTTCCTTTGTCGCCACAAACCGAACGGAAGAGTCCTTCGGGCGAAACGCACTTACGTTATAGTGCGTTGCGTTAATGCATGGCGTGCAGAGAAAAGGAGGTAAATTAAAAATCGTTGGGTTCCAGAAACTCGAAGCGGGTACGGAAAGGAAAACGGGCGTCTCATCCTCGTCCTCGCGATTTTTGCACCTTTACCTTACGAGCAGAACGAGTAAAAAGGGAGCGAATAAAAAAAAAGATGAAATTAATGCGCACCGTTGAAGTACTTGAATACATTGGAATGGAAAGGAAAAAGCGCGAACGTTCCGCGGCCTAATTTTCATTATTGTTCGCAGGTTAGATCGACGAAGGATATACGCCAGGCACGGTTCAAAGTAAAAAATCTCATAAATTTTCTTTTTCACTCGCGTAATATTCCTTATGAAATTCCTCGCATCTAATATAATCCTTGAATTTACTCATAGGTAGATAGGTATTGCAATAGGTTGTAAAGAATTCGGTTTTTTTTAATCGTCGTTCGAGATCCCGATCGGTCGGGGAAAATTGAAAAATACCCAACTCAAATGCGGAAGGAAAAATCCGTTTAGCGATTTTCTTTTAAATGGGATTACGAGGACGGTCCTGCGCGCAGCGACGCATAAATCCCGAGAAAAAGTCTATCAGGAATGCGAAGCAAAGGTAGAAACGGAATGAAGGAGGCCGAGGAGAAGAGGCCCTTTCAACATTTAATCCGAATTAAATGATCGTCGTTGTGTTATTTATGCGACGTGCTTCGCTGATTTTACCGTGTCACTGCAATTTCGTTCTTGTCGTTGCTTCGACAAAAATTGTATTACCTATACCTGTATCTGTTGATCGAATGATGGCGTTTAATAAAAATACAATTTGCTTTTATCGGTATTTATAAAATTTCATTATCTTGAAACATTTATTTGCCTTATTTAAACTGCTCCACAAAAGTTAAGGAAGTTCGCAAATTTTGTGATTATTTTATAAGTTGATCACCAAATTTCCAAATATGCGAAATTAAGTCGAAATCTGAGTAAATTTTTTGCGCCTACCTCTACAACTCATACTAAATTTGGCGATCAAAAAACCTACAACTTTTAAATTAATCTCAATATTTGTGAACTTCCTTAACTTTTGTGGAGCAGTATATTAAAATAAATCCTTATGTACCTTTCATCTATCTTTTGTAAGTATTTACAATGTAATTATTTTCTTAGTTACATTAAATTTATTAATATAAATTCTATTCGATGTTTTCCATCCATGATTTTGTTTTTGGAACGCTATAATTTTGAAACAAATGATTATTTTTTATGTAGTTTGTTTTAAAATAATACATATAATCAGAGTTGTAATGAAACTTGATAAATAAACAATGCAAAATATAAAATTACGTACCTATCTGCCTCAAAAATGGATCATTAAAATGTTATTTTTTACCCATAATGTTCCAATTGAAATAAAGTAAAATATTGAATAGGAAATTGTGTACTAAAATTATTTAATTGTAATTAATTAGACACGAAATCTAAATATTTCGGCTATAATTTTATGAAATGTAATTCAACAAAATTGATTCTCAATAATTTCATAATAAATATTTCTACAGCGAAATAACTTTCTGTTACAGGTAAGCTGAAATTCCTTCTGGAAATAATAATAGTAAGTTATATCGAATCTTTTGTAAGTGTTAAGTTTAAAGTTTCTTCCTTTTCTCTTTTCGCATTGATACAGGTATTATTAGCCTTTTTCCTAAACTAACAGAATAAAACACAAATATTTACCGAATTTTTTCACGCGCGTGGTTTCTTTCGGCGTACATGCCTATTATTAAAAGCGACCGCTTTTCTAATGTAATTATTTATATTTACCTATAGATACCAGGGAAACACCTTACTTTTATAACTACAATAAAAATTCTAACTCAAATCGCAGATTCGAGGTCGCTCTGTTACTAATGAATCCTGAATAAATATTTGTTCGCAAACCGACCAATATTGGTTTAGATTTAATCAATGTTGTTTAAACAATTTTCACCGAAACAAGCGTTGCATCTCGTGCAATTTGTTTGTAAAATTTCTTGATTTTTTCGCGTTTCGCTGTCATTTTTAAAATAATTTTATGCAAATCTAACGTATACCCAGGTTAATGAAAGGCGCTTTTAACCCACGAGTTATCTGTAATTTTGATATTTTGCAATTGTAAAGTGAGCATGTAGAAATCGTGCCCATTGTGTCGAGGCATTCGTTCGATCTGATATGCCTAAGAAAAATTATTTATTTTTGTGTTCGAGTGATTATTTATAGCATTATTATCTATATTTTTAATGTTATACAAGTAGTTGTATATTGCAATATACATGAAGTATGAATTGAAGTAAACACATAATATTAAAACTAACCAATTAATCATTATAAAAGTGTTACTAAAAGGTTTTTTTGAATTTAATGTGTAAATCCGCAAATCAGAAGTTTATCTGAAGAGATAAATGAAAGTTACAAATATCCGTAGGTTTCAGGATTTAAATCTAATTTCAGTGGTACCCATAAATGTATTGTGCTTTCAGTGAAACGTATTACAATTCTCAGAAACAGCCCACTTTTAATTAAACGCGCGGTTTCACAACCATAACATACCGTTGATTATTGCTAAATTTTTTGTGTCCATTAACAGTTCTTGCCTCAAATATTCCAAACGCTCGAGCCGAGACACATAATAATGATGATATTGGGCGCGTTCTCGCGTTCTCGCGCTTGAGAAATGAAGATGTACCGATCTCTTGTTTAACACATTGCCGGTAGAAATTAAAAAAAAAATCACAACTCGCTCCACCTTCCCACTTTGTTGTTAGGCATACGTTGTACAAGAAATATTCTAATCCCGGTTCATCCTCGTCCTCGTCCCATTCATTCGTCCACACGTCTTCGCGTTAATTAATCATAACGCTTTCGGTAAAGAGCGAAAGGCGGTCGGCGGAGGCGGCGCGAGGAGCGGACGAAAGGGTGTTGTTGCAACGCATCGCGAGGTTCAGATTTAATTTCGGATTATTTATCATTTGTGATTCATTAAGCAATAACTCGGCTCTCGACTCTCGACTCGTCTAGTAACTGTTACGTTAGTCGAAAAGTCGTGACTGTATTTACCACTTATTACCGGTGGAGTCTTCGTCTTCTTCCACTCTCCTTCTAACGTTTTGAGCCGCTTCGGCGACGACTGCACTCGATGAGCTTAAAATATTAGCCATGAAATATTTTATTTGTATTCCCTACGGATATTTATGTAAACCTTGTAAACGATAACATAATTTGGGAGACTTTACTTTGCACTTTATGTCGAATAGTATAGTAAATCAGGATTAATTTTGTGTAGGTCGTGCAGTTATCCATCATAAGTTGTTTTCCTAGATTGTCTTCCTCTCCGTGCTAGAGTATATCCGAACGGTCTTTCGTCTCTAATTACCATCTGATATATATGGGTGTTCGTTTAGGAGGAATACGTACGGTAGAGAATTTGCTATTTATTAAAAGGATTTTTTTTTGTTTTGACGAGCGTAAATTAATGTGCCCTTTCCAATTAAAATATTTTCTCTTTTCTTTGCGAAATAAATCGTGTATTATAAGAGGGGAAATATTGTAATCGGCTTGTCTAGATTATTCGCTAATTGGGCCTTTGAGTGTATTAAATATAATGTTGCAGAGCTTTTGATATAATAAGCGTACAGTTAACCAGTTGTAAAAATATTTCAAAGCT